GCAAGTCATGTAACCACGACACATGCGAACAAAACAGATCTTATCGAAACTTTATTATTATTATATTAATTGAAGTATGATCAAATAGCATAGAAAAATAGAGCATTCTTTTCTCTATCAGACTATATACAAAGAAAGTCTCTTAAAGCTTTTTATAAGGAATAAAAGTACTACTGCCACTACTTTTGGATTGCCCTAAGTATTAGATGGATGATAGGAGACAAATGGTCGTTAGTGACTGGTTCAGAGCCATTCATGACTTATGATACCAAGATTTGAATATAGTACCTTGTGGATACGAGTTAAACTGTGTAGCCACTCATGAAAGAATCTTTCCAGATGTCAAATTACTTTTCGACGGAGACGATGTTTATTTGGTGAGTACTAATAAGTAATAAAAAAGTGTTGAATAGCTGGATTTTTACAACAAAAAGCTATGCTCACATGAAAAATCGATGTTTGAGTTTCGATTTCAAATTTGGCACAGATAAAATTCTCAATGAGAATAGTTCATTGGACAAGTTGTAACTCTGCTAGTATCTCCTATCCTGAGATATTCAAAATTCTCTTTTTTCGTAAAAGGAGAGAGGTTTCCTCGTCAGCCATGGTGAACGTTAGAATCGAATAAAAATGTCGAACCGTTCATTGTGATAATATTCGCATAAAAAATGGTTTACTATTAAACAAAACTTTTGTTAATTCTAATAATGTTTCGGTATTGTTGTCAGTTTAGAGCTTCATAGTTGTTCGCCCAGATGCATTCATAGAAAATTACGAAAAGATAGATATTTATTTTTCATTTAAGTTATTCATTCATGTGATATGAGCATTTAGGTACTCTTTTCATAATAATTGAAACATCATTTACATTAGCAGCAACATAAAATTATAAAATATCGAAAAAAAAGACAAATTGTTTGGATCTGTTTTTTATAGCAATGTTGAAATATAACTAAAAAACGAAATTATTGATTTCATTACCTTACGAGAGAAGTCTTCCATTTGCACAGAGATCGATTTTAACGAGAATAAATTTTTGTGAATGTTTTAAGTCCTTTGATTTGTTTCTATCCTGAACTAAGAACATCGAATCTGTCAGTTTATATGAGCGATGTAAAAGGCATACTATTATCACCATTGTATCACTGCAATAGTAAGCTTAGGAGGACATGAGCTTCTTTCAGGGTATTTATAGCGTATTTGAATCTACATAATGTACATAGTCTCGATTCAAAAGTGATTTATCGCTTGCAAATATTCCGTTGTAAGTCTTGACACGGTATATATATTATTTTCTTCATGATTACAAATTATAAAACTATACTCTCTCTGTCACACGTATGAAGTTACTTTCATTGAAGTTTCTCTATGTATATTTACCAAATGTAAAAGAAAACAAAATTTCCGCATCTGGAATTAAAAAAAAAATAGAGACAAAAAAGGACAACCTTGAGCAGAACGAAAAATGATGCTTGTAATGTCGTAGCTATTGTGGGGTCGTTGCGCTGATTCATCATTTCAATTTTTTTCGCTTTTAGATCTATTCATGATCTATGATAAGGATTTATACATGAAACAAAAAATACCGAATAAATAGATAGTAACGAAAAGATAAACAAGATCTTTGATAATTATAAAAATGAACTTTATGAATGTGAATCAAACCTATAATATGCAAGATTTTCTTTTTTTTTTATGACAGAAATTCGATCATATATTTACATAAAGAGATTTTATGTTGTTTTTTTGGTTTTATTCTTTCTTGCTTTGTTTTTATGCAAATAGCTGCGATAATCATTAGTTATTCATCGTTTGATGCAAACGAAAAAAGCAAAAAAAAAACACATTGACGTCAGCAAGAAAAGAGCGGAGGCCGACGAAAACATGTATATATATATATATTAAAACCTACGATATCAATTTCTTTTCATTGATACAAACGAAAATAAAAAGGAACTACTAACTAAAACATAATGTCATCTGCACATGAAGCTGCTAATGCTTTACCATCGAATTTTGATATGGGTGGTTTATCAAATGCATTAAATAATCCTGCACAAGTGTTTAGTATGTTAGACAAAAATAATGATGGACGTGTAACAAAACAAGATTTAGCACAATTATTAGAACAATTTGGAGTTAATGGTATGGCAGCTAAAGTATTATCATCATATCTTTTTAAACAATTAGATGCTAATAATAATGGAACTATTGAACCAAGTGATCTTATACATGCAAATGGAATTTTAAATAGTTTATTTAAAATGAAACAAGGTGGAGGCTATTAAAAAGAATAAATTATAGTTTTAACTCATTAATAAACTATCACGTATGGTCTTCTTTTGTTTTTCTTTTCATTGTATAATACATGAATTTTAAAAAAATTTCTAACTAACAAATAATTATCTATAATAATTACTATGAAATAAAATATTCATTTCAATTAAAGTCGTATAATTTTATGATTTTATACTTTGGACAACTACGATCAAGTAGTAAAATTTAATCGTTTGAAGATCAGATATAATATCACAGCTATCACTATAAAATCATATTTAACTTGATATATACAAAATAAAGTAAAATTTTTGAAAGATTGGCAATAGCAACGTGTGGTTCGAAACACGCTGATCATGACATAAAGATTCATTTTGTTCTTGAAAACTGATCGAAATTGACTAAACAATCAGTTTTAGTCTATGCATAGTTCGACTTAATTTCGCATGAAGTAAAGAATATCTTACTTTCTAATTTTAATAATAAGTATTTAAAAAATTTCTATTTAATACAAGATTGATGATAGTGAATAGAATTCTTTTGCTTTAGAAGATAAGTATCATATAACTATCAAAAAATATCTATTCAAGTCAGATTTTTATTACATTCTTGTCACAAGACTTCTAAAAAACAAATTTGATAAATAAAGAAAAATATTTTCCTTATCTCAAACGTATATCTAACAAAATTAGTGAATGCATTGTGTTCAATAGTTTGCTTGGTCAATGTTAAGCACAGATATTTGAACACGAATATTTCAGCATAAACGAACAATTACCGTAACTATGAAATCAAGTGAATAAGCAGGAGTAAATATAGGCGACGAAACGTTTTGATTTTAAGATGGACTCCATATTTTGTATAAGACCTTCATCTGGCAGTTAAATATGAGAGAAGACGAGTTTTAGAATGTCACTAAGATGAAATACAGTTAGTGTCTCTTTTATCAAACTCAAATTTTGTAACGTGTAACAGTCATGAAGATCAGAATTAAGTTCGCAATTTGCGCTGAAAAAAAAAACTCACATTTGAAGAAACATGTGATTTTCGAAAGAAGAGACTCTGATGTACTTTACCGGAAATAGGCCTAGTATATGTAATCTTAGTCGAAGAAAAGTTTTGGCAGATTCACATTAGTCTGACTCAGATTTTTTGTACAACTCTTCTTCACTTGTAATGAACAATCTGATTGAAGAAGAAAAGTATTTTAGCCTATCCTACGTTATGAAGCGTGATCGGAGGACAAGTATTGGTCTACTCAAGCATTATGGATCCACTGCCTATGCTTGTTGGACACGAATTGATAGTAGATAAAATGTTGACTGACTTTTTAATAACTCGTTACGTGTCAGAAGAAAGTGAGAATTAAAAAGCAATAGACAATTGTTAAATTAAATAGAACTTATCTAAGCCTTTATCGATCTACTATTCAGACTACATGACTCCGCTGTCTATGGTCGTAGAACATATTTTGGAGTGAATGTTATGATAATTTAACCTACAGGAAAATAATTATATTAATTATTCTTCGATATAATATGTTATAGAAAGATTTTCATATATCGATGGTGGTTTTCCACCTAATTGTTCTAGATATTATATATATATTGTCATTGAAAAGAAAAGAAATTAATAGGTTTATTGTACTTTATACATATACAACTTTTAACTAAAATAATGATTTTACTTTCGTTAAGAAAAGAAAAATACTTCAAATCAACATTTTCAATTCGATAAAAATTTTAATAAAAAGAAAAAAAACTAGTAATAATCGATCGATAGTAGAATGATGTAACATAATAGATATACTATTTGATTTTATTTTGTTTGGTGGCGTTGGACTAATTTGTGGTGATGGTTGATTATAATTTGTATTTGTATTATTAATCTTATCATTTGTTAATGATGCCAATGCAAATGAATATAATAAATGATCAACCTATGAAAATTTTATTCATTAACTCTTTATTTACTTTTTAATTAAATAAAATTTACTTTTACGACATGACCATCATTATTACAAAAATCTGAATTACATAAATAAAAAAATTTAAACGCATTATGTGAATTATCAATTCCATAATTTGATATTTCTTCAATTATATTAAATCGATATTCTATATCATATTGTACATGAGAATAGTTCATAGCACAATCTTTTCGTAATGAATGACCTTTCGAGAAACTAAATATACAATGATGTTCATTATTTTCACATTGTACATCAATATCATCTTTGATACAACTAGAAATAAATAAAAATAATCAAAAGTTGAAAAATATCTTCAAATTTCAATTTTTTTACCTAAGTCCAGATATTCCTATTGAATCGGATGTGTCAAGTAGCCCAATAATTTTCTTGAATATATCTAATCTTGTTTCAGTAATAGTTAAATTCGATAAAAGATTACGAAGTTTATCAAGTGCACAATTATCAGATGTTTTGCATTGAATACGTGTTGTCATTTGTATTTTTGCTTGTTCTAAATTACCAGCAATTTTATATTGTACAACACTTTTTATACCATTAGCAAAACCAAGCATATTATCATAAGGATCTGAAAATGATTGTAAACCAGTAACATGAGTTAAATAAACTTTCATTTTTTGTGTATTATAATCAATTGAAACTTCAGAATAACAAGAACCATCAGTATGACCGAGTAATGACATAGAATCAGCTTCATGTATTGCACAATCGCTGAATGTTGCTGATAATGTTACATCATCAGGAATCGGATCATTGATATTAAGTTCAAATATACATGTTGATAATGATATTACAGTACCAGCTTGATTTGTCATACAGCGAAGTGCATCTATTGAAAAATATTTTATAAACAAGAAAATCAAAATTAAGAAGTACATAACAATTAACGTGAATAAGATGATAAATGAGAATAATAAATGACATGGCGCTCATTTTTCGTATTCAAATAAATTATTTATTTATGTAACTTTGAAATTTATTTAGAAAAGAAAAATTCAAATCATCAAAATAATAAATATACTAGCGATCAAAAGCAATCACTTTACAGAGATGTTCATTGACCGCACAAGATGATCTATTTCCTCTTTCCAACAATTAATTATTTCAACTTTTTTAATCAGAGGTAAGTTTGATATTACTAGCTGTATCCTTACTTTGCTATTGTTCATGGGATCAGAAAATAAGTACTCACTGTACAAAATAAGGAGGTGCCCATATATTTGAGAGACTCATTTCTAGCAAAATTCGCTTTAGTAAACTATATAATGCCCGATATATGGAAATGCCCAGTTAGAGAGGTTTTACTGTAAATGATTTATATTCAATAGTGACATGCTTATTTTTTGATATTTTATTAACACAAATATATTCTATATTGGAATAAATATTATTCTTTTTTACACTGGTTCGGGTGCAAGTTTTAGTGCAGCTTCTTTCGCTGCTTGTGAATCAATAATATAATCTAATTGAATTCTATGACGATATGGTACTTGACTTTTACATAATATGTATAAAGCAAGAAGACATATAATCGTAACATGAATACCAATTATAATAAAAACAACAATAAAATGATGATGTTTTTGACTAGATAATATAAGGTTAACATTTGTAGTTGTATTAAAATGGTTTTCAATTTGACTAAAATTCATTGACAATAGATAATAGAAACAAATAATTGTATTTTTCAAAGATGACAATGATAGATAATATGAGTTTATTTGTGTGAATTTTGATAAATAAACAAGAGTATTATCAGTAAGTTTGGTATAAAGTTTTGGCGAAGAAGATAATTAAACTCATAAGTGAATGTTTGCTTTTTTTTTATCTACAATAACTATATAGAAAAATCAAGGAAGACATAGAAAAAATACATTTGTAACATCTAAACTTGACTATACTCAATTGATATCATTATTAAGAAAGTGCGGTTAAGATAAAAATATCATGAAAAAGAGTAAAAAATAAATTTAATAAAATTATTCTAACATGTTTACTAACAACCAACTCTTCTACCAAGGATGTTACTTGAATAGAATACATTTTTATGTTACTCTTTAATATATCCCGTGTTGTACATTAGTTCGCGCTACCGCCGGTCAATATGATCAACATTGCATTGAAAATGCCACAATTCTGTCAGTTTTAACAGATTTAAAAAATATTCACCTGTTTTGATACAATACATGATGATACAACAATGTCAAAAAACCCTAATGGTAGTCTCTCGTGAAATAAATTCTGTGCTTGTTCAACTTATTTATTAATAATTTCTAACTATAGCTATTCCTTTCTTTCGTATGTCTGCTGATGTGGCCAGACAAACTAAAGTGATACTTCTATTTTGTTCTCAACAACACATAGAAAGACGAAAGACTAACATTATCGGTAACACTCTATCACTTTACATTTATCTACATTGCCCATCCCAGAGAAAAACATTTCGATGAAAGTACTAAAAATCTAAAGACTTACTCGTTTGGATTACCAATCTATCAACTATATTAACTCTTAACTAGCGGTATAAGATGATCGATCGAGCTGCCGATGCACCAACACAATATCATGAAAAGAATTGATGATTAAATAGATTGTCCATCCAAATGAATAAGAAAGTTAACAGAAACAATATGGAAACAAACAAAATAGAAATCAAGAGACAAGAAAAGCAAAGAATGACTATGTGACAATATTAAAAATTATTCAGAACTAGAATACTTGATATACAGAATTATTCTAAAAACAGGACAACTCATGATACCTTAAATCACATTGCCAACTGATACCCGAAAAAAAAACCAAGGACGCGTTGGTTTTTATTTCAATGTTTCTTTCATCAAGTTTATATTTGCATTCATTTATCTGATAAGGAAAAGTTATCTTGAATATGTTGTAAGTCTCTTACGACTCATTGCAAGAAAAGAAATCAGCTAATCACGTAATTGTTTAACTACATCGACTAATGTGCAATAGGAGAGAGTCAATGAAATGAAATATTCTCAGCTTTGATGTATAACCTATTTATTTGTCTAGTCTGAGGAAAATCAACGGATGCAAACACCACTTCATATCTTCTCGACCAACTACACAGTGCTTTATCTCTGAACATTTATTCAAGAATAACCGCATATAGTTGAAAATACCACAAAAGACTATTCAAGTAGATAGTATTTGAGTTTCATTCGACTGCAAAATGCGATGCGAAGCTACGACTGTAGGTTGTTTCAAAAAAATCTGATTTTATAAAAAAAAAACGAATAACTCTTTTTGTGATTTATTATGAATCGCTTTTTTTCTAATGATATTAACATTTTACTGGAATCAGGTTTTTTGTTCTTGTTGTAAATTGTAAAATTTAGGTTTCGATGAATAAGCTAATCGAAGTCTGTAAGAATTTGTAAAGTAGTCATTCCGAAATGCATTACAAAGAATGCTCTATTAACAGTAATCAATGTGCTTCTCGTGAATACTATTGATTGATCGCTTGATTCTCTTTCTGATTTATTATCTAGTACCAGTTGTACTGTTTCTTCAATGTCTACTACAGAAAATCATGAAGATCTGCCTAAATACTTTGCTACACATCGCATTAAATATTAGAAGAAAAAAGAAAAAGGATAAGTGACTTATTGAAATAAATGTTAGAATCTCAAATATTTCATAACGATTATGATTTAATCAATGAACTATCGAATATATAACTCTAAATGCCATTGAAAGTTATGTTCGATATGTTAAATTAATATAATGTTTATGACTATGATATGTAAATTTCTTTTCAAAATCAT